TTGACCAGGATGGTCTCAATCTCTTGACCTCGTGATCCACCCGCCTCGGCCTCCCACAGTGCTGGGATTACAGGCTTGAGCCACCGCGCCCGGCCCTACTAGTAATTCTTGTTCCACTTCTTTTGTTCAGATTTCTAGTCAAATTCACAATAACATATTAATCTTTCTTTATCTCTATTTGTGAATAAGGCAAAATACTATCCACAGTTTCTGCTAGCCTCTCCTGAGCAACACTGGCACCTGGAACAGAACCAGCCTTATTCTACTGCTCCTTTACCTAATGTCAAAAACTAATATAAAAAGAGAAGGCAGAAGAATGTCATCTGCCAAATGAAAATGCAGCACCTGGAGTTTAGCCAGAACTAAATGAGAAGAATAAAGTTCCAGGGTCAGTGTCTATAGTAATGTTATACATATTTTTGCTTCATGATCATGGTATTTGTAATCTCAACTATTCCTCTATTTGAGAATCGAAAATGTAGTGTGTATAATCCTGTTTCTGTGTTGCTATGCGTTTTTACAAGTACTTGTGACTACTAGACTGTATACTCCTGAGAGTAGAAGAAACGACTTATCTTTGTTTACATGCATGAAAAAGATCTGCTACATAATAATTCTCAATTTAAAACCTCCACAAATAGATACATTGATTAAAAGGAGTCAAAATAGCAGGTAACTTTAATGTCATATTTTAGGAAATAAATAATTTACTCTCCATCACACCTGTGTTTGAGAAAAGAAGCTTATCCATGGGATTTGGAAAATGGATAAAAACAAGGAGAAGAAAATAGTCGACAAAGAGTATTTTGCAGCTATGAGGGAACAAGAATGAAGAGATAATCTTAATCTAGATAAGCCTATAATTTGGAGAGTGCATAACTACACACATTCAGTAAAGAAACTGTTCATACATAGATCAGCTTTTTGTGGCAAGGAAATGAAATATTCTGGGCTACACAATTTTCAAATATATCTCAGTCTTGTATTCATGGGAAACACTTTAGATGCCCTATAGTTTAGTTGCTACTCAAATTCTATCCCAGCTGTTATGTCTTTATGAATGTCTCCATTACAGTAAACACAAAATTTGAAGCAAAAAGTACATTACTCTTCAATTTATTTGGGAAAAACTAGTTTTACAGTTAATGTGGAATTGGTTAAATGTGACATGGTAATTGGAATCAAAAGCATTGATTCCAATTTAAGAATACTTGAACAGTGGGGAAGTCAGAATTGAGAGGTACACCACAGCAGAGATAAAAGTGTGTGAATGTTCTACTTTAATCCTGGGACAACAAAATGCCTTGCTAGTGGTGCCTGCTTGAAGCACGTGAAGAAAAGCAAAAATGAGAGATAATTTGATAATTTGGAAAATTCTTTCAGAAAGAGAGAAAGTGTGTGTGTGTGTGTGTGTGTGTGTGCGCGCGCGTGTGTGTGTGTGTGTGTAAACTTGGGTGAAACTATCAGAGATGTGTATAATTTCCTATTTTTCACTAATTGAGAATACATAAGATAGGCAGAGAAATACCTTTCACGATTTATCCGTCAAATATTGAAGAAGTTCTCTATGTATCAGTGGTGATCAGGAAGTTTCAATACAAGAAAGAATATACCTGGTCACATTTTCCTTAAGGCACCACGTAGTAAAGAAGATAATATTCCAAACATGAAACTTAAGAACTATACCGCAAGTGCTATGGTAGAAACGTGCAGGATGTTTTAAATGTAGAGGTGAGTCAAGAAAAATTCTATAAAGGAAGTTAGGCTTATGCTGACTTACAGAGAAATTCTTCTGACAAAAAAGAAAGAAAATTTTATTCTATATAAATGAGCAGAGACAAAGCAGGAAAAAAGGAAGCACAGTGGCCATTTAGGATATAAAAATGAAATCAGCCATCCTCTCAAATGTGCTTATCCAGAGATTCTTAGTAAGTCTGATGTCTTGGTCATGTTTAGGGGTTCCATACAGCATAAGCTGAACAAATGAAAATACGGCTACATTCCAAGGATATCAACTTATCCCACGTATCTCTGTGGGTTTTAAAAGAAGACTTGGAAATTAATGCTTCCCTTCTCTCTAGGACAAGATCATATCCAAGTTTATAAACAGTGATCAAAGCAACCAATCAATCAATAAATCTTTACTTACCCACTATTGCAACATATATTTATATGTCTTCCAATGTCAGCTGGATTTAAAAATAAAACTGGGTCTCAGCTCCTCTTTTGACCCCCAAATTCTAAGGTGCTACATGGGATTATATCCAGCTATCCAGCATCCATGTTCTCAATGTGTCACCTTCTTAAACTACCCTGTTAGACCAACCTCCACCACACCCTACATATCCATATTCCCACATCCTGGAACAGATGAGCAAAAGGAAAAGAGATAAGCTACACCTTTTCTCCCATCTTTATCTAATCTTACAGTCTCATGACCAGTCTGCTACCATGTAACCTTATTCCATTTCTCAGGTATTTTACTACTCTAGCTCTGAGTCTATGTTCATAAAAGTCTATTCCTCAGGGCCATGCTTTTTCCTTATTCATTTATTTATAAATTAATTAATTTTAAAACATTTTTAAAATTTGTCTTTATTTTTAATTTTTGTGAGTACAATATATATTTATGGGGTACGTGAGATGTATTGATACAAGCATGCAATGTGAAATAAGCACATCATGGGGAATGGGGTATCCATCCCTTTAAGCATTTATCCATTGAATTACAAGCAATTCAATTACATTCTTAGTTATTTTAAAATGTATAACTATTATTGACTATAGTCACCCTGTTGTGCTATCAAATACTAGGTCTTATTTACTCTTTCTATTTTTTGTAGGCATTAACCATCCCCTCCTCCCTGCAGTTCCCCACTACCATTCCCAGCTTCTGGTAACCATCCTTCTATCTTCACCTTTGCTATATCTTACATGTTCTAGAAAATATAGAGAGATAGTCTTTGCTCTCTAGCTGTTCACATGTCATACATATATATACAGAAGCAGAAACAATAGCTGAAGAGATATGGGATATGTTGGCACAATTTCTTCCTCATCAGCATTCACACTTTACTTTTGGATCTGAGGCTTTGCATGGCCGTAGGTGCATGTAGGTAAAAATACAGTTTGGAAAGTTTACGAGTATGAGTGTGTATTCACTCTTCATCCTGTTATCATACTTTCACCTTTCCTACATCTACCAGCTTGCCATAAGCTCTTTTTCTATCCCTCTTGGTATTCTCCAAAGCCTATCCATGATATAACTTACCTTAGTTTAAAAATCACTGCAAAACATCCCTTGTCATATTCTTTGAGCACACCATTTATTATGCCTATAGAAGATATTTATACTGTTCTTGTAGCCCCACTTCCCCTGGGATGGGTATCATAGCATCATAGTTAACAGACTCTGGAGAATTCCTCTTCTCAATGTCTTCTTCCTTATACTGAAATAATAGGGCAAGGGTTTATCACTGTTCTCTTGTTTTTCCCAAATTTTATATTTATTTACTGACACTGATAGAATAGTTTTAATTTCTCACTTCAAAATTAAATTGCTAAACTCTTGGTAAATGCTTAGGATTTTTTCTTTATCCTTCTATCCCATCTTCTTCAACTCTCAGCTCCCTGACTCTCTCTCATCTTCAGATTTCTCTTTCTAGTCCTAATATGATATTGTATTTTCTCATTTTTAAGACCTCTTTGATAGAATTTCTCATGGAATCAATATCTAGTGATCTATCCCATTGTACTTTTCTTTATCAATTCGTCCACCAATGGACATTTTACGGCAACTCTCTGGAAATTTCTTCTACAGTGTGCATATCTATTTGACACCACTCAAACAAAGCTTACTCATTGTGAACAAGATTTTTGCTGGGCTATGAGTCAAATATAATCAGCAGAAATTGTTTAACATCAGAGATTTCTGAAGCAAGAATAACTGTGGGAACTAACAAAAGGCTATTTAAAAAACTCAAAAGAAAATATTGGGGAATGAATTGATCATAGGGGATTTCTCAAAGCTCTGAAATGTTCCCTAGAAGCTAAAACACAAACACACACATGTACATGATTCTGAAAATGTCCAGAAAGGACCTGAGAATGCCCTAATCTCTCACCTCTAGTAAAATAATATTAAAATATAGAATGTGGGTTATTGTACAAGAAAATATCTGGTACATACAAGATGTTATTTTCACATACAGACACACATACCCAGATATAGACATAGTGGAATTTTTGTTATGTTGTAGAACATATGCATTTTAATAACAAACTCAGAAAATTCCTCACATAAAGGGCATTTATGAAAAAAACCATGACTCACATCCTACTCAATGGTTAGCCAGAGCAATTAGCCAAGAAAAAGAAATAAAAATTATTCAAATTTTAAAGGAAAGAATAAACTACCTCTCTTTGCAGACAACATAATATTACATGTAGAAAATCATAAAGAATCCACAAAAAAACTATTAGAGCTGATAAACAAATGCAGCAAATTTGCACATTTGCACAACACAAGAGCAATACTCAATCAGTTGTGTTTTGCTGAACACTGCTGAAAAAAATTAATGAAAGTCTAAATAAAAAAATACTTTATGTTCATGGATTGGGAGATTTAATACTGTTAAGGTGGTCATTTTCACAAACATTATCTATAAATCATGTGCAATTCCTATTAAAATTTCAGCGTCCTCTTTTGCAGAATGGAGAAAGACAAAACTAAAATGCACATAGAAGAGCAAAGGCCCTTGAATAGCCAAAACAATTTAAAAATAAAAAAACAAAGTTAAGCGACTCACATTTTCTTATTTTAAAACATGCTACAAAGCTACTCAAAAAAGCATGGTGCTGACATAAGAATAGTCATAAAAATCACTGGAATCAAATTGACTGTTGAGAAATAAACCCATATGTCTCTGGTCTATTGATTTTTGGTAATGATTTCATGACCATTCAGTGAGAAAATAGTCTGTTCAACAAATGGTGCTCAGTTTTACACGGCAAGATGACAAGTTAATAATAATGTATTGTTGTACTTCGATTTTATACTCTGAAACTTAACTAAAGTCATTTATTAGTTCTAGGAGCCTTTTGACAGAGTCTTTAGGATTTTCTAGGTATAAAATTACATTGTCAGCAAAGCAATACTTTGGCCTTTTTTTCTATTTGGATGCTTTTTATTCCTTTCTTTTGCTTGATTGCTCTGGCTAGAACTTTCAGTACCATGATGAATAGAAGTGGTGAGAGTGGGCATCATTGTTTTGTTCTGATTCTCAAGGGAAATAGTTTGAGTTTTTGCCCATTCAGTATGATGTTGGCTGTGGGTTTGTCGTACATGGCCCTTATTAATTTAATGTATCTTCCTTCATTGCCTAGTTTGTTCAGGGTTTTTATCATGAGGGGATGTGGAATTTTATCAAAAGTTTTTTCTGTGTGTATTGAGATGATCATATGGTTTTTGTTTTTAATTCTGTGTATTGGTGAATCACATCTACAGATTTGCCTGTGTTGAAACAACCATACATCTCAGGGAAAAACGCCTACCTGATCATGATATATTAACCTTTCCAAGTGTCTCTGAATTTGGTTTGCTAATATTGTGTTGAGGACTTTTGCATTTATGTCCATAAGAAATACAGCCCTGAAGTTTTTTGTTGTTGTTTCTGACAGATTTTGCTATCAGGCTGATGTTGGCTTCGTAGAATGAGTTAGAGAAGAGACCCTTCACCTTGATTTTTTTGGAATAGTTTCAGTAGAATTGGTATCAGTCATTCCATGGATGTATGGTAGAATTTGGCTGTAAATCTATCTGGCTCAGGACTTTTTTTGATTGGTAGTTTCTTTATTACTGATTCAATTACAGAAGATACTGTTATTTGTCTGATATTTTAATCTCTTCCTGATTTAATTTAAAAGACTGTATGCTTCCTGAAATTTATCCATTTCCTCCAGATTTTCTCATTTGTGTGAACAGAATTGCTCATAACAGTGTCTGAGGATATTTTGTATTTCTGTGAGATCTGTTGTTTTGTTTGTTAATCTACCTATGGATCTATCAATCTTTTTTTTTTTTTTTGAAGAACCAAGTATTGATTTCATTAGTATTGTGTGTGTGTTTGCATCTCAGTTTCCTTAAGGTCTTTTCTTACTTTATTTATTTTCTTCTGATAGCTTTGAGGTTTGACATCTTTCTACCTTCCTGATGAAGGTATATAGGGCTCTATAAACCTGCTGCTGCTTTAACTGCATAACAGAGATTTTGATAAATTGTGTCCCTAGTTCATTAATTTAAAATAAATCTTTATTTCTGCCTTAATTTTGATGTTCACCTAGGGGTTATCCAGGAGTAAATTGTTTAATTTCCATGCATTTGTGTGGTTTTGAGAACACTATTTAGTATTGATTTCTACTTTTATTGCACTGCTGTCTGAGAGTGTATTTAGTATGATTTCAATATTTTTGAATTTATTGAGGCTTACTTTATGACCAATCATGTGACCAGTCTTAGAATATATTCCATGTGAAGATGAGAAGAACGTATATTCTGTGGTTGTTGGGTGGGGTGTTTTGTAGATGTCTATTATGTCTAGTTGGTCAAGTGTATAGTTTAAGTGCAGGGTTTTGTTGTCAGTTTTTTGTGTTAATGATCTTTCTAAGACATACTAGTATCCCACTAGTATTGTGTGGTTGTTTAATTCTTTGTGTAGGCCAAGAAAAAGTTGTTTTATGAATATGGGTGCTCCGATGTTAAATACTATACATCTAGGATAGTTAAGGCTTCCTGTTATATTGTACCCTTTATCATTATGTAATGCTCTGCACTGTCCTTCTTAATTTTTATCAGTCTGTTTTATCTGTTATAAGAATTGCAATCTGGCCGGGCACGGTGGCTCAAGCCTGTAATCCCAGCACTTTGGGAGGCCAAGGTGGGTGGATCACGAGGTCAAGAGATCGAGACCATCCTGGTCAACCTGGTGAAACCCCGTCTCTACTAAAAATACAAAAAATTAGCTGGGCATGGTGGTGCGTGCCTGTAATCCCAGCTACTCAGGAGGCTGAGGCAGAAGAATTGCCTGAACCCAGGAGGCGGAGGTTGCGGTGAGCCGAGATCGTGCCATTGATTGCACTCCAGCCTGGGTAACATGAGTGAAACTCCGTCTCAAAAAAAAAAAAAAAAATTGCAATCTGTGTTCTTTTTCCTTTTTTCTTTCTTTCTTTCTTTCTTTCTTTCTTTCTTTCTTTCTTTCTTTCTTTCTTTCTTTTTTTTTTGAAATGGAGTTTATTCTTGTTGCCCAGGCTGGAGGGAAATAATGGCATGATCTCAACTCACTGCAACCTCCACCTCCTGGGTTCAAGTAATTCTCCTGCTTCAGCCTCCTGAGTAGCTGGGATTACAGGCATGCCCTACCATGCCCAGCTAATTTTGTAATTTTAGTGCAGACTGGGTTTCTCCATTTTTGTCAGGCTAGCTTCAAACTCCCAACTTCAGGTGATCTGCCTCCCAAATTGCTGGGATTACAGGTGTGAGCCACAGCATCTGGCTTCATATTCTATTTCATGGTACATCTTTCTCCATTTCGTTACTTTGAGCCTGTGGATTTCATTACATGTGAGATGGGTCATTTAAAGACAACAGATGGTTGGGTAAGTGCACAAAATCAGTAGCATTTCTATACACCAACAATGTCAAGCTGAGAAGGAAATCAAAAGCACAATCCCACTTAAAGTAGCTGCAAATAAAATGAAATACCTCGGAATACAGCTAACCAAGGAAGCAAAAGATCTCTACAAGGAGAACTACAAAACACTACTGAAAGAAATCAGAGATGACACAAATAAATGGAAAAACAATTGATGCTCATGAATTGGAAGAATCAGTATCATAAAAATCACCATACTACCCAAAGACATTTTCAGATTCAGTGTTATTTCTATCAAAGTATGAACATCATTCATCACAGAATTAGAAAAAAACTATTCTAAAATAGTTTACGCTCATAGAACAGAATAAAAAACACAGAAACAAAGCTGCATGGCTACAGTTCAATGACACTGACAAAAGCAAGCAATGGAGTAAGGACCCCCTATTAAAT